TTTGTTCCACAATAGATTGTGTTGCTGCACGGACGTTTTAGGGTGTCACACAAGTAAGGATTGTTAGGCTGTATGTTGCTGTTGTACATGGCAGAGGACCAATCTGAGTCGCATGACTTGTTAATAAAACTTACTACCCCGTTGGGTAGGAAATAGATATTCTGGAGTCTGTCGTGAATGAGACCAGAATATAACAGACAGTGTTTTAGTAGGTAAAGGTGAATGGCTTGGCCAGTTGAGCTGTGGTTTCGGGAAGGCCTCAAAGGGTACCAGGCGTGGCAGATCCCCCGTGTACTAAATGGATGTGAAGAAGATAAAGAATTTAAAAGGGAGGCAGGGTGGGGCACGTAAGGGAATGAACAACTTGTAACTAGGAGAACATGTGGATAAGAACTGGAAGGCGTGTGTTTGGAGGCTTGGGCCCGCTCTTGGAATTCTGATACTTTCTCCAATTAAAGTGACATTAAAAGCAGACTGTAGTTAAACATGTAAAACGTTTCTGAACCCAACATTCCCCAGAGAGCCTCCTAAATGAGTAATTGTAGGTCTGTGCAAAAGTTTCTTGAGCTGCAATCATCTGCATTTCTTGCCGCCTTACAGATTAGGAAACAAATTTTGGTCCACTCAGAAAAGAACTATCAAATTTAAGTTACTTTCCTCCTGTTAAGATAAATCTGCATCAGTATACTGTCAAACTGTAGATGTTTTTTAGCTTGGTATAATCTGTATTCTTACCCATGTTCTCTCTCAGCCACAAGTCCTGTGCAGCCTAGAGCGTGGCAGGGTGGAAGAGGGGAACACGATGTGTATGGAAGTCCTCGTCCTTTCCAGTACATGAGGGCTCTGCAGCCGACAGATCCAAAGATCTACCCTAATGTGCGCGATCAGGTCCAAGTCCAATCCCCGAGATCGTATCAGCCACGCTCCAATATTCCCGCCCACAGACCCATGGAAACGTATCCGCTCCAGCCTCGAGCACACAGAAACCACCTTGTGGCCAAGCCCAGGAGCTTTGACTTGAGCCTGAGGATTCCTTTTGCTCAGTCTCGTGATGGTGCTAATCCTCCTGGGTACGGACCAAGCGGCTTTATTATTGACAACAGTTTTAATAATCCCGGCAGACGCCATGGCCATGACGCTTCCAAGCTGGGCTACCAGTTCAGCTTATCCGTTCCCTTTTCACGAGGTTCTCCACGCCGCCAGGAACATCACGGCGGACATCGACACAGGCCTGCGGAAGCTGATTTGGGCCACCAAAGACCGCAGGTTTATGTGCCGGCTCATACAAGGCCGCACCCCGATGAGCATCATCATCGTGATGAAGGCCGCCCTGGTCGGGTCTCTGCATTTCCGGAGCCAGATGGACTGGAACGCCCATCAAGGCCGCGCCATCCTCAGAGATATGTCGACCCTTACAGTGGCTACTACAACTCCCACATGAATCCTACGTGGAACGACTACTGGTGGTATTACCATGGACCTCACTGGGGTCATGTAAAGCATCCATCTTCTGACCCTTGGCCAAATTTCCATCGGTCAGCTTCAGACTGACATGGATGGAAGAGACGAGCCAAACTCGCAGGGCTCAGGTGGGTCACTGGTTTTTGGCTATTACAACATGGTATTTCTTGATGGTCCCCCTCCTGAGCCTTTATCAAATGCAGTGGAGCACTGAGGTTTGGCAGTTGCTGAAAGAAGACTTTCTGCTGGCCTTGCTTGGCCAGATTGGCTGGCCTTGGCCAAATCCCTTTAAGCAAAATATGTAATTCTCAGATTATACTATTCACCAATATGTTTCCTCTAGACGAGCCCCTAAAATTGAGGCTGATAAGTTTGAGTGTGCCTGATCTAAAACCTAATGCTGCAGGCTCTTAAGCTTTTAACGTCTGCCACACCACTACTAGCATATCATTAAGAAACTTGCGTTTTCCTCCAAATCAGACTTGAAAATTAAAGTGACTGGATGTAGCGCAAAACTGTAAGTGGTAGTCTGCTCAGGTACCAGTTTCAGCCCTGTTAGAGGCAATGGACAAAATGCTGATTGGCCTAGAACTGGCAAGAGCTTGAGGATCCCCACACTTGTGTACAGGTAAAACTGGAGATTTTTCGTTTAAAAATATGTCCGTCCACATGTAAACGCTAAAAATGAAATGTTGGCAAATCAAAGCCTGGGACTGAAAGACTAAAGTACTTCCAAAAAGGTTTTGTTTTCTTGGAAAGGCAGACGAATGTTACTTTTCAAATGCCTTCAGCATTTCAAATCTTAATAATTAAAGTATTTTGGTTGGTGTAGACTTGCAACTAGGAATGAACAATAAAAAGTAAATTTATTCAAATCCACGTTAGGATTGTGGGAGCAGCTGTGTTGAATGTAGAGGCCACGTCCGAAGTTCCCTCTGATGCCTCTGTCTTTCTAAACGGACGGACAGTAACTGTAAGAACTGCAGATAGTCAGATTAACAGCAACAGTATTTTGTCCCTATCCGCCATTGTAGAAATTCATCTCATGTAAACGATGACATGGCGCACAGCGTCGCGTCGGACAAAGCGCACACCTGTGACGTTCCGGGACTAAATATCAGTTTTCCTCATCCACACGTAAACGCAAAAACTGAGTATTTGAAATTCTCCACCCTGGCAGGAGTTTTTAAAAATCTGTTTTCAGTTTTACGTGTGGACGAAAGGTGCAAATGCACAGAAATCTGCGTTTTCAAAAACACCCGTGTACATGTGGCCCTAGCCTTACTTCAAGTCAACCCTTGGATATGGACAAATATAATTTTACATAGCTAGATGTACCGCCACTGCATGCCATGAGAGATGCCACATTTTCAGCAAACAGCTCTTGGGGAGTTCTATTATTGGTGAAAAATACAATTTTACGGCTGTCGTTGGAGTTTCTTTTATTTTTAAAGTTGTCAGTTGTGTAGATAAACACTGGCTCATGTGTGTTAGATGCCTGTTTTATGCTTGACTGATTTGTAGGTCAGGTTTACATTCCTGCAGCTGTGTCCATGGTGGGGGTTTGTTTTTCACACCAACCACACAAAGAAAATCATCAGATCGGGTGAAATAAAACAAAACATTTTCTGTTATCACATTTTGGTGAGTCTGTGTGAACTTGAGCTCACTTGCACCTCACTGGGTTAAATCCCAGTGCATCTTATTCTTTAGCCAGAGTGGGTCGTCTGCCGCCTCCTATCCCAGCATCCTTCTTTCACTCCACCCTCTGCTTGTCCTCCTTCATTACATCCATGAATCTTCTTTGAGGTCTTCCTCTTTATTGCCTGGCAGCTCTATTTTTGACATCCTTTGTCAGTGTATCCACTCTCCCTCCTCTGTACAAAAAAGAGGAAAAACAGTCTACTCTAGAGTTTGAATCGGATATTAAAATTTTATTCATCTTTCATCAACCTTTTGAACACAGCTTGAAAGCTTTTAGAGCTGTATTCAAAAATGTCAAGCTGATTAGCGCACACTGTAAATTTTCTGTTCAGTGTTAATTTATTTCTCTCATGATTTTCTCAGTAACGTCAAAATAAAAGCACCCAAGTTCACTGTGTGTATGTTGGAGCCTTTACATGTTTATTTCCTGGCTTGGCCACAGATGACAGACCGACTCCTCCTCCTTCAGCTGTTCATGAATTTCCACAGCCAAATCTGGTTGTGGTGATACTTGCAGGTTCTTGTAGTGTGTCGTTGAATTAGCTTCAGTTTGTGGTTGAAGGCTAAACAGCACATTCAGTCATGTAGTGTTGCCTCACCCCAAGAACAATTCAGCTATTTAATCTCAAAGTATTTGCTTTCTTAACATAAAAAACATATATTTCATACCTCTGATAAATTTGTCTTTAATGTCGCAAATTTATTTTATGTTGGTGCTTGAGCTCAATGCAAGACTTTTATTATTAGTGTTTTATTTCATGTCAAAATGTGTATAAAAGCGCATAAAACTGTAAAAGGAAAACAATACGGCGCTGTACTGTAGAAGTTAAAATCAAATGTGTTCTTATTGTCCACATCCCCTCTGGGGCATAGATTCAATCATTCTAACGTCTCAGCCAGGCCAATCACATCAAGTGTTTGCACCTGTGTGAGGCAGAGTTTGCTTCAGCCCAACTTTTCATTAGGAAGATGGAAAAGACACACACAGACAGCCGCGTGGCTTGGATGCTCGACTTTGAGTCTCGTGGGTGTTTGGTTGGAGGAGCTGGAAGTTGGGCTTTCTGGATCCACGGCTGACAGGGCAGCTGTGCTGCACAGTCCAGCTCAGCGCTCGCAGCTGTGAGGACACAGCGACTGCAGCAGTCATGGCTGCTGGCTTCCTAATTGCAAGGTAACACATTAAATATGAAACCAAATGGGTTTTATTAGTTCCATTTTATTTATTTGAGTCTTTGTTTGTCTGGGTCTACCTTGACTGTGTATTTGTAACTGTTTAACAGATTATTGCTGGTCTGTTTGTTGAGTGAGGTGAACTACTCCTCAGCTTTTCCAAGAGGTAAGCCTGACTCACCTCCTGCTGTTTGGAAATGGGGCTAAAACTCTTCTTGTTAAAATACCTGTGTTACTATAACGTCCTGCAAGTCTAACCCTGTTAAGAATTGATCCATTAGCAACAATTTAACAGCTCCCCTAATTAAAGTAAGACCAAACACTAGGCCTACGATCTGATACACAGCACTGACAAGTCAGGGTGGTGCTTTAAGCAAACTGTGCATTTGCTTTTGTTTGTATCTTGATGTAGTTTTCTGATTAGGAACAGGTTAAGTTAGCCTTTCAAATTAAAACTGTCTGGGTCCATGGCGTGGAGGATGGCTGCCATTCCTCCTCCGCCTTCATGGATTCAGACAGAAAGTTGGAGGTTGAGTGATTTAAATTAACAACTTTCCTGATGTAAGTGCATTTCTGTGTGGCAGACTAAAGCAATATGTCGGTAATTAAGTCCGTGACTGACAGGAAAGAGAGGGAACTAATACAAAAATCCACATTCCTATATTGCAATATTGTTTTGCTATACAGCAAATGGAGAATCTATAAAGGGGATTCGAGGTGGCACTCTTCTTCAGTCCTGAAATGTAATTTTTACAATCCGAATCTAATAAATGATTAAATATTGTCAGTGAAATACCAGTGTAAGTAAAAAAAAAATTAAATGTAAGCTTTATTCAGTCCTGTTTCAATGTACATGGTCTTGAAACAGGACTGTGCAGAGCATGTCTGCAGTATTTTAATGTTATGGAGTTACAGGGTCTAAATGCTCCACACAATAAATATGAGTTGTCCTGTGCTTCATGTTACGCTGCTTAAAATGTCGCACAGGGAACTAAACAAGAACCTTGTTTAAGCCAACTGTCAGGCCTGTTTATTCTTTATGGCACATCTCTGCTTTGTTCTTGTTCCTCCCAGAGAAACCTCATTTGAAAAAACGGTAATGTAGTTCTGTGCATTAGCAAACTGTTTCTGTGCTGCTAATCACCAATTATGAAGCTAAATAGATCAAATGAATTATGCTCTTATGATAGATTCCTGCAGAAATATGTTGTTGAGGTTCTAGAGGTGTTTGTTTGGAAAATATAGTCTAAATGTCCAAATTTTACAATGTAATTTGTAACTTAACCTTCACCTGTTTTCTTTCATAGCCAGAAGTTTTGTGCAACCGGGAGTGTGGCAAAGTGAAGGAGAGGAGGAAGAAGCCTACAACTATGAGAACTGTCATCCTTTCTACTACATCAGTGCCCAGGACAAAACATTGGAAAAGCAGGGACGTTTTAGGACGGCCCCTTTCCATATCTGTAAACAAAACCATCCCATTGTGTACCAAAAAGCCTCAAACGTCAAGCCTGCAAACCCCTTGCAGCCACGATCTAATGTTGCCACCAAATGGCCAAAGGAGACTGTTCTACCCCAGCCTCCACCACAGAAGAAATATCTGTCACCCAAACCCAAAAGCTACGAATTCAATCTGAAGATTCCCTTTCTTGATTTCCTGATAAGAAATGATGTAAAGAATTCTTCTAATAAAAAACATGATGGTGGAAATGATGTGCCTGCTGTCGCCAAACCAGGCTTTCAGGTCGGCTCGTCTGTTTCCTCTTCATCTGTCTCTCAGTCTCTCAACACCCCAACCAATAGCCACTTTGTCCACTTGGCAAGTCAACACAAACCAGAGACTCCTGATTCTTTAAACCCAGAAAAACCCATTTCAGCCATGACTGAATCAAGGCAACCCTCCTTAAACTCTGCTAGTATGGGCCATACAGAAACACAGGAGCAGCCATTTCCCATGAAACCACAATCAAGTTCAACTTTATTTGGATCAGGAAGACCTTTCGTAAGTTTTGCAACACCCCAGCAAGAGACTAGTGAGCCAGTTCATATTAAGCCAAGTTCATCTCTGGCTGAGTCAACAAGACCTCTCTTAAGCTTTGGAACAACACAGCAGCAGACTTATAAGCCAGTTCGTGTTAAACCTCCAAGTTCAACCATGACTGAATTAGAACAGCCTTTCCTAAACCTTGGAACAACGCAACACGACGGTTATGAGCCATATCCTATTAAACCACAATCAAACTCTGCCATGATTGGATTAAGGCAACCCTTCTTAAACTCTGCTGGTACAGAAGCACAGGAGAAACCTTATGAGCCATATCCCATCAAACTACAGCCAAGCTCGACCCTGATTGAACCAGCGAGGCCTTTACATTTTACATCACCACAGCATCACATTCATGAGCCAGTTCGTGCTAAACCACCAAGTTCAAACCAGATTGGAACAGAACGGCCTTTTGTGAACTTTGGAACAACACAACACCAGAGTTATGGGCCATATCTAGTTAAACCACAATCGAAGTCTGCCATAATTGGATTAAGGCAACCCTTCTTAAACTCTGCTGGTGCAGATGCACAGGAGAAGCTTTATAAGCCATATCCCATCAAACTACAGTCCAGTTCAACCCTGGTGGAACCAGTGAGGCCTTTACATTATGCATCACCCCAGCAAAACATTCATGAGCCAGTTGGTGTTAAACCACAAAGTTCAAAGCATATTGGAACAGAACGGCCTCTTGTGAACTTTGGAACAACACAGACTCGTGAGCAACATCCCATTAAACCACAATCGAATTCAAACCTCATTGCATCAGCAAGGCCTTTCCTAAGTTTTGCAGCACCACAGCAAGAGACCTATGAGCCATTTCACATTAAACCACAAAGTTCAACCCCAGCTGTATCAGAGCGACCTTACTTTGGAACAATACAACAGCAAACTTATGAGCCATATCCAATTAAACCACAATCTAGTTCAACCATGGCTGCATCTGCTAAGCCTTTCCTGAACTTCGCAGCACCACAGCAGCAAACTTATGAGCCATTTCATATTAAACCACAATCAAGCTCAGATCGGTTAACCTCAGACTGGCCTGCCTTAAACTATGCTGCTATTGGACACTCACAAGCACAACAGGCTTATGAGCCATTTTACTTGAACTCGCGGTCAACTTCAACCCACTTTGGATCAGAGGGGCCTGCCTTTAACTCTGCAGCTGCACGTCAGAATTATGAGCCGGTTCATGCCAAAATGCAATCTTATGACAGTTGGCCATATTTTAAGGACGGGTCAACGATATCTTCAAGCCAAATGAGAGTCCAAAGACAGGACTCTGCCAGAAACAAACTCAACAGGAAACGCGACTACCCAAAACTTTTTGATGTGGCTGGAAGTGATGGTCATAACGAACTTGCTTATGTTTAACAAGTTCAGGCTCAAGGTTTTAAGTCTGCAATTGTCAAAAACTGTCAAGTTCATAGTTCATCCCTTTGCTTCCAAGACTTCTTTTTTCATATCCAGCCACCAGCCCTTCTGATTTCATCTCCAGTGACAACCAGGATACAAACCCAAACAATCTGGAACCATTTTCATCCTCACCTCTGTTCATCTTGCCTAACAACACTTTGATAACAGCCTTGTCAGTTCAATTGGAAGCAAAAAGTACCTGAGGTTTAGGTGAGTCATTACATTCTTATGATTTGAATAAATCTGTGAAAACTGGTATAATGTCTGAATCTCTTGTCTTACAGTTGTGCACTTGAACTGAAGAGATGTTAATCTGTACTCATGTGAAAGTGCCCATGCTCCATCCTGTTTAAGTCTTTTGATTGGCTGCTCTCAAGACGAAACGGTGACAGTCATGTCTGTGCACTATAAACTGAAAGCAGGTGACAGAGCAAAGGTTAGAAATATCTAGCTACTTCAACCTGTTAAGCTGACCGAAGTCTTTTTGATTTTGTTTAATCCATACAAAAAACATGAAGTATAGATTTAACTCTTGCAGAGCGCAGCTTTCCATGTTTGTGTGGCCGGGTGAACTGATTTTTAGTCTAATCTTGTGCCCTGCAGCTTCACAGCAAAAAGCCTCCAGGATGTCATGGTATTTCACAGAGCTGCAGCCGAGCACAGTGACCTGTAGTTTCTTCAAACTGTATAAATGCAGAGGTGCAAAGAGGCTGTTTTCATGTTTTTGTTGGAGGTTTGAGATTAAAACACTGACAAGTTGTTGCACTTGTTGCATTGGCACTGCATCACTACTAGGACATTAATCTAAGATAAGGTAAAGGAGGCACATCTGGAAACCTCCTGGTTTCCATGGTTGAAGTCGCAGTCTACAGGCCACAGAAGCAGTCTGGCTGGCCAAGAGTTTACCACCATAAAGCGTTTTTAGTTAAAGGTAGAGGAATGTCTTGTGTTGTTACTTGCTTGTTTTTGTGTGTTTTAGTTCCTGCATTAGCTCAAACTTTAATTACCAACAGATCCAACAGAGTTGTAAATGGTGTGATTGGGAACATAGTTATGTGATTGTTACCATGGTTTATAACCCTTAGGTCACCATCTTGTAGTCTGACCTGTGGGTTAACCACTTGTGGAAGAGTGGCACTGATGGAAAATAAACGATGTTCACTATCTATAGAAAACTAGTCACTCATCCTTTTTGGTCTCTATAATTGAGTGTAAAGCAATCCAATAACATTTCATGGTTATATACTGGCCAACTCTGAAACATTTCTTGCTTTTAGTTTTTCTAAAAGTCACTGAATGGTGGATCTTCCCTTTTGTATGAAAAGAAAAAAATTTGTCTCCAAATCTAAGCTCTTCGAGGCTTTCCCCCCCCCCCCCTCCCCCAACAATACATCCCTAAACCTTTTTTGTTTTCCCCTAATGCAAAACTGGTTTATGAAGTTATCTGCTCACCACTGGCATTTTTTAATTGTTAGCATAAATAATGAGTCGGTCTAGATTCCCCCGTTATTCCACCACTGGTGAGTCTGGTGGGGCCCTGAGCGGCCCTTCTACCCGTGTTATTATCTAAGAAATATTCAAGCACCAGTGTGTTTTAAACAGTGTAAAGACAAATTGATCACTCTGCTCAGTCATGTCTCGGTCAGAGTTGGACACACTAGACTGCTCTGCTAGCTAAATTAACAAATATAAAATGTTAAAGCAAAAGAGAGAAATATTGTGGTACTGGCTGAAGTTGTTATTCAAATGTCTCCTCCGCAGATGAGGCTAGCCCAGCAGCATTTAGTTATATTTAACCTTTATTTGCTTTACTCACCACGGTCTTGTTTTTTCACACTCCCAGAAAAGTAACTCTCCACTTTCATGGAGTGGCTTTTGTTGTCTTTATCTTTGTCTAAAGAGAATCATGTGTGATACTTGTAGTGGGAATCTGGTGGGGCCTCCGTGGGAGCTCAGGTCTTTCCCACTGCCACTGCAAACCTTGCACACTGCCTCCATTACTCTCATAGTTTACTTTTCCCTTCTAATTGCAAGTTGGTAACTTTGCGTTTTTGAAACCTAATCTGCTCGTACCCAGTATTTTTATCACAGCGGGGTATAGTGTTGAGGTACCCGTTTAGTTTTTATTAGCTGCAGTGAAAACAGTTCAGGGTCTTTGTCAAATCTCAAGATTCCTCACAAATATGTCGTCTATTGTATTCAACGATGAGAACTCACTGGAGTAGTTGAAGGAGCAAGTACATCGAGAGGGAGAGGAGGAAGAGAAGGACTTCAACGTAGCTCTTGAAGTGAGGTTACTGCTGCTTACTGTGCTGGAAAATCACCACCCATTCACACACATTTTAATTGCCCTTTTAAAATTGGCGGACTGTAGATTATTAAAGGTCTTTACTTTTTCACTGGGTTCAAGAGTTGAGGACATGAATATCATATTTACATCCATATCACCAAACCATATAAATTTTCCATTGAAAATAACTAGTCCGAGTACTTGTACAGTTTGCCAGTGTAACGAACACATCGGGCACGAATGAGAGGAAGCCGGTGTAACATTGAAGCTGCAAGGAGCAGGGGGGGAGGACTTTAAATACCTGGAGTCAACCGTCCAAAACAACAGACGGAGCAGCGAGAAGAGGATAGAGCAGGAAGGGCGACGTGGGTGAAGACGAGTGTCAGGGGTGTTTTGTGATGGACTCAGAGCAGTGAGAGTAAAAGGAAAGGTTTTTAAGCTGAGAGCGGCTCTGAGAAGTTAAGATGTTCATTGGGAATGAACAGAATTTGAAATGAGTCCTCAGAGGGAAGCTCTGAGTCCGAGAGGTCAGAAATGGTTTGCACACGTGCAGCCGAGGGAGAGTGAATACACCAGATAAATGCTTCCAGACGTAGTGAAGGAGGACATGCATGTTGACGTTACAGAGGAGGATGCTGGGATAGGATGAGACTGAGGAAGATGATCCACTGTGTGCCCCCCCCCCCCAAGAAAAAAAAAACCGAGCAGATAAGGAAAAGTTTTGTTGCTGCAGTATCGCGTTTGAAATTCATTACAGTTGTGGGTTTTCCTCAGTGGAATCAATGTAACTATTTCCTGATGAGATCATCATTACAGGAAGCGATGGTTTTGTTCCCTCAGTATGGAATCAAATGATAAAACATAACAATGATCAACTACATCGAAATGTCAATGAGGGCAGAACAAAAAACAGAGTCATGTTTATCTGTCCAGTTTACCTTGGTGCAGTCTATGCCGGGGTGTCAAACATAAGTCCTGGGCCCACAGTTACCCTGGCAAAAGCTCAAATATGGCCATAGTTTTGTAGTTTTTCCTGTTGAGATAGATGCTTACTTCACCACTGACACAACACCTAATAACAGAGTTGGACAAAGTTGCTTTTCCTACTGTCGATCACGTAAATGTAATAATTTTTGTTTTTCATTTTTGTTTGGAAATTAAAAGACTTTTTGTGAGTTAATGAAAACTTCATATTCTGTAATTAAAAATGGCTCTTACCATGAAAAAGCATAGAAAGTGTTTGTCTGACTGGGTGAATGAGGCAAGTTGTGTAAAGCGCTCTGGGTGCTCGCAGTGGGAAAAACTCTATATAAGAACCATTTACCAGTTACAAGAACAGGCTGGACAATGAACTAGCAGAACTTTTATTTTACATATTTAATTTTACTCGGTTGCCTCACAGTGTAAAATGAGTTTGGTTATACCTGATCTATGGGAAGCATGGCAGAGCTTAAAATGCAAAATCCAATAGCACTGTTGTAAATGACGAAATGAAGGTTAATTAAGTAGACGGTACAGATTTAAACAACATGTGGGGCTTAGTTACATTTTACCTGAACACTGAAGGACACTGCAGTTATCTCAGATTTATATAAGAGAAAACGGATAAACCCAGAGCTTTAAAACCTGCTGGGTGTCTGTTTGTTTTTCTGCTTCAAGGTCAGTTATTTAAACTGCAGAGCTGCAGCTGCCGAACACACAGCCCAGCTTAATTATTTAACTGTTTTAAAAAGGAAGAAGTAATTCAGAGTAATGAGCCTCCACCTTTAAGTGGAAACGGGTCTTTTCTTTGTTATCAAGGTGTCGTAACAGCACTGTTCAGCTGCAGGCAAAAACTAAGAAGTTTAATTCTGGAAAAATAACCAGGTGACATCACAGTGATGTCACCAAAGTTACTCTTACAGCCCAAAACTTACGAACAGTAAAATAAGTTTGTATTTCACGTCGGATTCTGTGTTACGGTGGTCAGAAAAAAGACAGAATTAGTCCTGTGAGCAAAATAAATGTTTCAGGTGCTCTGCAGCTCGAATATGACAAGAACGTCTGAGGAAGCTGAGTGACGGGGTTATACTGTGACAAAGCAGCGTGAAGAGATGCAACAAGTTACATCTGTCAGATTAACAACCGTTTGTATCTTTCCATGAATGCATGTAGTATGAGTTAACCTGGTTTATTCCCAACATGATGCAGAGTACGAAAAGAATACATCAGTGAAGTGTTAATACTGTTGTTTCTGAGGACGGGTTGGTTACGTTCTAGGTTTACAGTAGACTAAAAGTTATATTTTGTCACAGTGTCGGGTGTATGTTTGTTCCCTAATGTTTCCATGTGGTGGTCGATAAAGTGACGATTCTGCTGTAATCACAGATTGGCACGCTCACGTTAAATTGTTCTAAAGAAAAGACTAAAAGGATCTGATCTTCATTAACTTTGAAAAGATGAAACGTATCACCGTATTTCTTCCAACACTAGAAATTTTGTTAATTTTTCTTTAACCTCCTATTCCACGGCAGCATTTTTAATTTCTCTTTGATATTTGGCCTGATTGGGTCCTGATGAATGTAAAAACAAAGAATTACCAGATTTTTTTTTTTTTACCTAATTTTTGTTTCCAAAAAAATCAGAGCCACATATGAGGATATTCGTTTAAAATTTTAATAGAACAGTGGCAG